TTAACTTGTAAGTTAAGTATTTAGTTTGTAAACTAAACATTTAGCTTGTAAATTTAATATTTGGTTTAGAACTATGACATTTATAAATGTATGAATAACATGGTGAAAATGTGACATTGGGGAAAAAAACTACTTTTTTTCTTATGAAAGGCTAAATAAACCAAAATACTGCTGATAATTTTAGACTGTAACTTTACAAACAGCACCCCTTAAGCACCCACTTGATAACCCAATAATTGGTGTACCTGAGTCCCAGTGAACTCAGATAGTCCAGTAGCCAAACTGAAGTGCAAGCCGATACTCTGGGTTGTGCAAGTTGCAGCATTGTGCAGTATTCACAGTCTGAAAGAATGTAATGGTGCTTTGTGTGTTTTACAACATTCAGGCTTGCAAAGTAAGCGTGCTTTTTGGGTTGATTGTTCAGTTGCATTAAGGTCTAACCGGCTTTTCTGGCCCCAGCGCGTCAGGCCTGCAAAAGACCAAAGAGGACTTTGAGACCATGACCTCATTTAGAAACTGTTTCAGTTCCGTCAGATTCTTGGGATGGCTGTAGCTATGATGAATTACCACACACCCATTCATTCGGTGTAAAATGGAAAACTTTCAATCACAAATTTGGGTTTTTTCCTACAATGACAAAATTAAAAATGTGGATGTATTTTGGTAATTTGTTGAAATGAAAAATAAAAATACTCCATTTTGATAAATAGTCACTCTTCATGCTTTTTACTTTAAGATGTTGGTTTTAGGTAGATGTTTAGAAGGATGACACCTCAATTGTATTCTTCTTGACTTTTATAGATTACTTACAATCCTTCCCCATACAACAGTATTTATCTCATTTATTATTATCAAATAAACATACATATTTTGATATATAATACATGGGCCTGTAGTAACTGTGACCTTTGAAAGTGTGCTTAGAAATGATCCACGGTGATCTGAATGGCTTTTCACTGGACGTTTCAAACATTCATTGTGCCAAATAAAATCCAACCTTGTTTAATGCTCTGCTTTTTTTTTTTACACAGCCATTAAAGTTTCTGTAGAAATGCTCAACAAGTTCAGGTTGGACTGGCGGATTTACTCCGGGACTTTCGGTTTTAGGACATAACCAGCTGTTCCGATCTGTACTTCCAGTGTCCATGTCTGTAAAAGGTCTGCTTTGAAGACTAGCCCCAAAAAATATCAAACTAATTAGATACATTTGTACAACTTGTAATTAATGTATCCATAATTAACAATTTTCAAAGAATAAAATTGTGACGTGATGCCAACTATTATTTGTCCAAGGACAACACACACAGACAAGCTCCACAGTTCAACACTATTGATTTGTTGGTTGTATTTAAACTCCTATTTGTTGAGCAGGCAGATAGGTTTGTAACAATTTAAACTGAAACACATTTAGAGCATAAGGACAAACGACAAACTGTGAATTATGAATGTTCTGAGCATCAGACTCAGATCTTTTTATTCTTTATATTTTTGCTATTTTTGGGTGTAACTAGGACCTTGAGTTCACAATTTTGTTCCCCCTCATGTACCGCAAGAGATGTGAATGACAATAAACAACCTTCAACCTTGAACTTAAAATGAAAAAGCAATGATACGACAAACTTACCGGTCAAACAAAAGCAGAAAGCGTTTGAATGTCAAGCTCTATTTTTGTGGCGCTCCACTGTTCTATTTGATTCCTAATATTGATATTGACTGATGTCTTATTCGGTTTTCTCTTTTTTTTTGCGTTTTTTTTCATATTTCCACCAAATCATCTTCTATGGGTTTCTACTTTCTTTGTTTCTGTCATATTTGTTTACCTGCACAGACTACACTCAGCCTACTGTTGGTTCATCAACTGGCCTAAGCTTTCATGTAATTTTTGTCGTGTTTAGATGTGCGTTTTGTTTACACCGAGTGTGGACCTGCATTTCAGAACTGCATAGTAACACATCTGGGAAACAACTAGAGCAGGGCTGTCCAATCCTGGTCCTGGAGGGCGACTGTCCTGCATGTTTGGCTTGTTTCTATGCTCCAACATGCCTGATTCAACGGTTAAATTCTCTTTTCATGTTCTGCAGAAGCCTGTTAGTCACCCAGTGGTTCAAACTTGGTGTGTTAGAGCAAAGAAATATCCTAAACATGCAGGATAGTGGCTCTCCAGGACCAGGACTGGACACCCCTGTTTTAGAGTAAACTCTTCAAGGTCCATGGTTCTTTATTGTCATTCGCATCACATGTGGTACGAGGTGGAACTAAATTGTGTACACAAGGTCGCAAATACTCCCCATAATACATATTGTAGAAGCAACTGTACCAAGGATCCAAGATATAAACAAAGAAATACACCAAACCAAGAAATATGCTAAACACTTAATAGTGCAAAACAATACGCCGAACAACAGCAGCATGAACATGAGTCCGTGTGAGCAGATGGGTATGAATACAGCAGTAAGAAATTGGTTCTACACTTAATGCTCCTTAACCTCCTTCCTGAGGGGAGCGGGGCAAAAAGTGTGTGTGCTGGGTGAGTGGGGTCCTTCATGATGCAGGTGGCCCTCTTCCTGCATCTGGAGGTGTAGATGTCTATGATGGTGGGGAGGCTGACTCCAACAGACTTCTGTGCAGCCTTCACCACTCTCTGCAAAGCTTTTCTTTCTGCAGCTGTGCAGCCTCCATGCCACATGTTGATGCTGGAGCACAGGATGCTCTCCACTGCACACCTGTAGAAGGAGGTGAGAACTGAGCTTCGCAGTCCAGCTCATCTCAGCCGCCTGAGGAAGTAGAGTCTCTGATGAGCTTTTTTCATCAGGCTGGTGGTGTTGTTTCCCCAGCTGTCAGGTGCACACCCAAGTTCCTGTAACTGTTGCACCATTTATATAATTCAGGATAATTGTTTCTATTGTTCATTTTATATTTTACAAAGAGTGCCAAATTCATATAAATATTTTGTGAGTATGCATATGTTCATGTTTTGGACCTTTTCTGTTTCCAACTAGTAAATACATTAAATGGTGCATATCAGTGAATCTGTGTATGACTTTTTAGACCGTAGGTCCCAGATTTGCTGATTGAGCATAGATTAAGTGCTGGGGACCAGAGTTTAGTGTGAACTGAGGCTGGATTGTTGCTGCTGTGCCTTCCCAAAGTCTCAGTGTATCACATCCTGAACAGGTCTCCGCTCTGCACAGGAACATGCCGCCAATCATGCACCCATCCTTCCACCTAAGGGTCAGTTTAGAGTAATCTCATCTAACCTGCATGGGGTGACTGAGAGGAAACTGGAGTAGTCGAAGAAAACCCTTGAGAACATGCAAACTATACACGTAATTTCTGTTCAGTTTATTTCTATAGCTCCAAGTCACAATAGAAGTTGTCTCAGGGCACTGTGCAGAAGCATCCACATCTATTCTAAAAGCCGATTAGTAAAAGTTTTCTATGTAAGGAAGCAGCAGATTGTGTTGAATCTTCACTTATGTATGATGAATGTAAAGCATGTCTAGGGAGAATTTCTGCCACAATTGTGGTAGACAATAAAATTTTATCTTATCTCAGTCTCCCATCCTGAGCAAGCACAAAGACATAGAAGGTCAGAGGTAGGAAGCATCGCACAAACTTGCAGTGAATTAAAATCTGAAAGCATTTTCTTGTTGACCTACAGTTAAAGCTCATGATTTTGGTGAAAACTTTGCCAACTACAGCACAAAGCATCATGAGAATAAGTTTTGCAGCATAAAGGACAGAATATCATGTGAAGACAACTGTATCCTGTTTTAAATTAAGTCTAACCTAAATTCAGCTAAAACACGAAGTTGACAAATGCTAGTGTTGTTGTGGAGTTCTCCAAGAAGACAAGTTAGTCTTGTACGAAGCAATTAAACTTTATGGGTTAAGGTTATTTCCTCAAACATTCAAGCACTGCTGCACTCTGTTAGTGTAAACAGCCTTAGGCTGGGGTATTTTTCCAACTAGTTGTTTCAGTTGCTTTAGAGTTGAAGTTGTTAGATTTATCATATTTTTATCACTAAACGTGCACATTTCATGAACCTCGCCATGTCTTTTGACCAGCAAGACGTGTCAACGTACTGTATTTTATTTGTAGTAAAAGTAAAATACGTTCTAGTTTGAACCAACACTCTTCTCATATACCTTATCTATCAAACACACTAGCATGCGTTACTCATCACCTGTCCATGAAATATGTTAAACTCACTAGTTGCAATTTAATGAACATGTTGACAACAAAAGAAAAGGGGAATTCTTAAGGTTTGCGTAAACAAGCTTTTAAGCTAACCAGGGTTGTTCGTCCACATTTTTGTCAGGCCTTCACGCAGGCATTGCTGAGAGAGCACACACCACTCCCACCCGCTGAACATTTGTTCCCTCCATCTGCCCAGTATCAGGTTAAACGTTTCACAATGCCGCAGTCATGTGATTAGACAGACAGGTTAACTACTTTTATTACAAAGAGATCCAACAACAACTGTAACACAGTAACTCTATACTCATAGTGCATTTATTATTTCAAGAAATGTTTAAACTTTACTACAAATGGTAAAGGGACTGCACTTATATAGCACCTTTCTATCTAATCAAGCCACTCAAAGCTCTTTACAACAATCTGTGCCCTCATTTATCCATTCATACAGCACTCTACTAGATCTATACAAAGACTAATCAGAGCTTTATCACATTCATACATCGATGGGGCACACATTGGAGGCAATGAGGGGTTCAGTGTCTTGCCCAGAGACACTTCAACATGCGACTGCTGGTGGAATCAAACCCCCAACTCTCCCATTGGAGGACGACTGCTCTAACCACTCAGCCACAGCTGCCCCTTCAATAAAATACCCCCTTCCCCCTAATATAACTTTCATAAAAATATGCCATGCAGCATCTTTCGTAACAGCTAAAACTACTGAAAATGTATTTTCCTGAAACTCCATTTTTATTTAATTTGGGTCACAGAGGGTTTGATTTAATCACTTCATCGTCCTTCACTCCCCAAGCTCAACAAGTCTCTTCAAATTCGCCTTCAACAGCTCGTCATCTTCGCCCTCCTCAACCTCCACTTCTATCCCGTCCATGGTTTTTTGCAGCTGTTCCTTGATTCTGTTCAGCTCCAGCAGTCCATCCTGCAGGTCCTTACAAACCTCACGGATCTTAGCAGCAAACTCAGTCTTGGCTCCCTTTTTCAGCTCCATAGAATCCTTCGCCAGGAAAAACACATCGAGAGCCAGGAAGAGGCCGGCCATAACTCCAGTAGTGATGCTCATTACCTGTGCAGCTTTAGCAGCACCACCAGCAACGCCCAAGACCTGGACGGTGCTAATCAGACTCTCCGTGTTGATCACTAAAGCCTTGCCGGCTCGACCACCCTCTTTCATTACGTGTTTGACGTTTTGGTTTAGGTGCTTCTGTGAGATGCTTTCAGCGTACTTCTCAAAGTTCCAGTCTTGAAGCGTCTCCATCCCTTCCTTTAGGTTAGATGAGTGAAGAAAAAAGTAGAACAAAAAATATTTAGGCCTTTGCATCCTAAGTTATGTCTACACTACTCTGGATAAAATTTAAACTTTCATGCTTTTACAAAAATGTTGCACTACATAAATCTTGCCACTAGGTGGCAATAACATCCACATTAAATATCAAACATGAATGGAAAAATGGAAAAAACTGTGGAAAATAAATTTTTAAAGTAGCATAACATAGATGTATGAAAGAATTTTAGGGCCACACTACGAAAAAATATTAAAAGCTATAAATTTACGAGAATAAAGTCGAATAAAGTCTTAATATTATGAGAATAAAGTTGTACGAGACTTTTTTTTTCAGCTTTCGTTTATTTATTTTTTTTCCCACGTGTCGGATCCACAATGCAACCTGTCAATCAATCCAGTAGGCGTGTCAGCAAATGACCAATCCGAAGCTAAATGCATTCAACCTTTATTTATACAGGTTAATCCCATTGAGCCTCGGGGACTCATTTACAAGAGAGACCTGAATTTTTTTTAACAGAGTGATGACAACAGTGGACAACAAAGACAACAATAGACAATCATAAAAGATACGTACGATTTTTTTTTTAACAAGTTAAAATAAAATGGCAGCCAAAAGGACAATCAAAAGGAAAAGTAGCGAGAACCCCCCCCCCCCCCCCCAGCTAGATTGTAAGGTGGTGTAGAAAACTAAGATCAAGAACATGTCTTCATTGGTTTTTGCCAGGAACTTAACAGACATTTAAAGCCACTTAGAGGTCAAGATTGAGAGCTTCAGATCTTTTTGCAAGATATTCCAGGAAACAAGAGCGGAGTAGGAGAAGGCCCTTTTGCCTAGTTCAGTCTGCACTGAGGGGACACTGCATATAATGATGTCCTGAGAGCACACGCTGTAGCTGCACTCACGCAGGTAGTAGGAGATGGCAACAGACCAAGAAGTGATTTAAAGATGAAAATGTACCAGTGGGAAAGTCTGCATGAAGTTAATGATGACCAGTTAACCAGTGAATACAGGGTGCTGTGATGGGTACGGTAGCTACAGCCAGTTATGAATCTTAGCGCACCATGATAGACAACATCCAACATCTGCTGAGTGTTTGTGTGAGCGTTAATGTAAATAATGTCACCGTAGTCAATGGAGAGAAGGAAAGTCGCAGTTACAAGGCATTTCCTCGCGTTCAGAGTTAGACAGGATCTGTTCCTGAAAAAGAAACCCAGTTTAACTTTCAGTTTCTTTACTAGGTTTTCTACGCGAAGCTTAAAGGAGAGATGAGAATAGACCAAGATACCCAAGTATTTATAGGAATAAACAAACTCAACAGGGACACCAGTTGAGGATAAAATCAGAGGAAGGACTGCTGGGACCGACTTCCTGTTTGAAAAAAGTATGCCTTTGGTTTTGTCGGCATTTAGGAAAAGTTTGAGATGGAACAAATCTGTCGAAGGCGTATTGCAAAAGCTGGAAAACGTTAGCAACTTTTTTAATTCAACAATAAACAACTGTGTCATCAGCAAAGAAATGTAAGGATGCATCAGGAATGCTCTGACCTACATTGCCTATGTAGATTGTAAAGAGGGTGGCTCCTAAGACTAAAGGCTCCAGTATACTGCCGCGTATGTCCGTTCACGCGTACGTACGCGTGTACTGTACACAGAGGGTTCAGACATGATACTCCAGCGTACACCCAAAGCAGCTGCAGAGCAGCTTCACAGACAAGGGGCATTTACCTTCGGGACAAATTGAGGTCGCCGATTGGTCATTTGCTGACACGCCTACTGGATTGATTGACAGGTCGGAAAAAAGAAAAAAAGCAAGCGCTGGCAGCCTCCGCCGCAGCGGTGTTCTGTGTTTATATGTTGTTAATAAAAAGATCTTAAAAATTTTAAAAAACAGAAAGCGCTGGCTCTACAGCCCACACATCAGACCAGCCCACCAGGAAATTTCCAGACCCTCCTGCAGCCACGCTGGACCTGAGTTTAATTCGCTCGTGACAAATTCCTCCATTTCTCACCATTTCAGTCAAGGTGTCAACGGAGGAGGAAGAGATCACTGCCTCTTGGCAAAAAAACAAAAGTAAAGGCCAGATCAGAGATGAAGAAGGGGGATTTAATACATTGGTGTCGCATACAAAACAGTCCGTCGCTGGGCAGTTTATTGTGCGACACCGTGTACGCGTATGTGGTCGTAAAAATTTGAGCTTTGCATGGAGGGTACGCTGGGGGGTACGCACGTACCTCTGCGTACGTACGTGCGTACCTCTGCGTATGGATGTACGCAGCAGTATACTGGGGGCTTAAGCCTTGTGGTACACCATTGTTAACTGTTAAATAACTGGAGGAAATACCATTATGTTGAACACATTCCCTCCGATCTGAAAGATAATTAGTGAACCTGAAATTCACTTAAATGATCCTTACCTGCAGAGAGCTGCGCTGCAGCCAATCAGAGCATACCACCTTACTATAAGCAGGTTCAAAATTCTGATACTGATAATAATCTGATGCTGATGTGTTGACAGATTAATTATCTCATTTGAAAAACCAATACCAGATTACAATTTAACAAGATGCTCAACATGCTTCATTTTACCACAGTTAAAATGCAGTAAACCCTGCATTATCGTGTCGGAGTTCGGCTAATATTACGACTCATTTAGCTTTGGATTGGACATTTGCTGACACGCCTACTGGATTGATTGACAGGTCGCATTGTGGATCCGACTCATGGATAAAAAAATAAAATAAACGAGAGCTGTAAAAAAAAAGACGTCTCGTACGACTTTATTCTCATAATATTAAGACTTTTTTCAACTTTATTCTCGTAATACTAGGACTTTATTCTCGTAATTTTATGGCTTTTAATTTTTTTTTTCTTGGCATGGCCCTAAAGCTCCGTCGTATATAGACCCTTTCCAAAAAAATTAGAATATCATGGAAAAGTTGTTTAACTTCCATAATTCCATTCAAAAAGTTTTTTAATAGATGATAGATTCAGGACCCACAATTTAAACAATTTCAAGTTTTTATTTTTTTATTTTTACATAATTTGGGCTTCCAGCTCATGAAACCCACAAAAACAGGATTTCAAAAATTTGAATACTGTGGAGAAATCAGCCCAAATGTTGCAGGACATGAATGTTTTAAACTGAGTGTGACACACTGATCATCTACTAAACTCAAAGCACCTGCACATGTTTCTCTAGGTGTCATTAAATTGCTTCAGTTTGATTCAATTGTCTCAGTTCGGTTCAATATGGGGAAGACTGCAGACATAACAACTGGCCAGAAGACCATCACTGATACCCTCCATAGGATGGGTAAGCTACAAAAGTTCATAGCTAAGGAGGATGGCTGTTCACAGAGTGCTGTGTCCAAGCATATCAATGGAAAGTCTAGTGGAAGGGCAAAATGTGGCAGGAGAAGATGCACCAGTAAGAGATGACCATGGTCTTCAGTGGATTATCAAACAGAGAAGATTCCAGAATCTGGCAGAGATCCAGAAAGAGTGGACTGAGGCGGGAGACACAGCTTCAAAACCACCACATTCAGACGCATCTGGGAGATGGGCTACAACTGTCGGGTTCCTCTGTCTTCTTTTCTTTTAAAGTGTGCCTTTCATTCGGAAATCAAGGTCCAAGGGTTTGGAGGAAGAAGGGTGAGGAACAGAGCTCATACTGCTTGAGGTCCAGTGTAAAATATCCACAGTCAGTCATGATTTGGGGACAATGTCCGGTGCAGGTGTTTATAAACTCTGCTTTCTTAAATCCAAGGTCACTGCAACAGTCTACCAGAATGTTTTAGAGGACTTCATGATTCCTTCTGCTGAGGATCTGTATGAAGATGCAGATTTCATCTTCCAGCAGGACCTGTCCCCTGCCCATGCTGCCAGAAGCACCAAAACCTGGTTTGATGCCCATGCCACAGTGCTTGACTAGCCAGACAACTCGCCGGATCTAAACCCCATTGAGAATCTATGGAGTATTATAAAGAGGAAAATGAGGAGCACCAGACTCAACAACAAAGGAGAGCTGACAGCATGAAGGAAATCTGGGCTTCCATAACTCCCAGGCAATGCCACAGGCTGATTGCATCAATGCCACGTCGCATCGAGGCAGTGATTAAGGCAAAGGGATTCCCAACTAAGTATTGAAGATTGACATATCATTTTGAAAGTACCATATTTTGATTGCTTTGTTGTGATCCTATTTTTTTTCTACCAACATTGAGTAGTGTGGCCTGATGTCTTCACAATATTCTAATTTTTGAAGTCCTGTTTTTGTGGGTTTCATGAGCTGGAAGCCCAAATTATGTAAAAATAAACAAATAAATACTTGAAATTGTTTAAATTGTGGGCCCTGAATCTATCACCTATTAAATATTAACGTTTTGAATGGAATTATGGAAGTTAAACAACTTTTCCATGATGTTCAAATTTTTTGGAAAGGGTCTGTTGATGCAGTTATAAAAAAAACAAAACCTTTTAGCAAGTTTTGGCTGTTAATGTGTTAACGCTATAAATTCAGATAACACAGACTCATATTAAGGGGTTTGTTGAAAATAAGTGGAGCCATTTGCATTTTGTTAATACGATTTAAGACCAAATCCTCAAAATCTCAAAGATTTTTTTTCTCAAGCACAAAAATGCTTTGCATATATGTTTATATTAATAGGACTGAAAACTGACCACCTGGTCAAGTCCTCACCTGTAAGAACTCTAGGCACTCCCTGATATCCCTGATCTCTTCCTGGTAGTCATGAATCATCTTCTCCACCTTGTTACGATCCGTCTTTGAGTGGACCGTGTCGGTGATGTTGGCCGACGCGCTCGTCACACCGCCGGCTGTAGCTATGCCGATGCCCACGGCTGTGACGATGAGCGACGTTCCCGCTGTGAAGGGGGCCAGAATGAGACCGGTGATGGTGGTGACAGACCCTGCGACGCTCGCCAACCCCCCGCCCATGCTAGCTGTGACCGTTTTTTTATGGAAGTTGTCTGCGGCGTCGGCCAAGGCAAGGAGTTCCAGGATGCGCTGCTGGAGTGAAGCGCCCCGCTGGTTGAAAACGCGAACAAAAAGACGCGCTGCCATGAAGACTCGATCAGCCGCCTCTTCAACCACACTAGAAAAAAAAGGGCAATTAAATCCTGTCAACGACAAACACGTACATGACAGTGTAGACATTTACAAAAATCTATTCTGTCAAGAAGAAACAATTTAGCTGATCTAAAACAGACTGTAAATGATGAGGTATTCTGAAAAAAACTAAACATTTTAAAAGCATAAAACTAAATCTAAAACATTTTTAGTTTACATACTCTTCAGCTTCGCCGTCTTTTTTTGCCTGATTCCACCCATCCCACCCTAAAACACAGAAAGACAGGTTTTATATCGATATAACATTTCAGCAGCAAAAAAAAAACAAAAACAAAAGATGATTATTAAAAAATCTGACAAACCCTCAACAGTTTTCCACCAAGATAACAGCTCCTCTTCATCCTGGAAAGAACCCACTTTTATCTCAAGCATTTGTTAAAATCAATTATTTAATTATAGACAATCATCAGTAATGATGTGCATTGTACCGCTGAAGAAAATCACACATACATCCAGAGGGTACAGTTGTGTCTCTTCACCGGGTACTGGTATTTCAGCCAGTTGGAGCGTTAGAACTTGAGTCTGCTGGTCAGAGAAGTGCCACATTATCAACAATCAGCACATAAAAGGCAAAAGCTGAAAAATTATGTCTTAATGTGTAAACTTTTTTTTCTTGAAAACCTAAATAGCTTTTATGCTTCAACACAATAAGATAAACCACTGGTCACATGATGCCATCATCATTGGTCATGTGCCAGTTAAAAGTGTTGGATTTTTATGTGTATTGTATCAGTTTACCTGCTTTAGTTTAGTTCTGCGTACAGTCTTAAAAAATTTATTAAAACTTCGTCTTGTTGAATAAAAACTTTGTTTCATGTTGACCAAGCAGTTAGTATAAAATGCCTGAAGAAATAATGGCCCAACGGACTACAGCGTCAAAAGCCTCTAATGAATTGTAATGTGTAATATCGCTAAAATTAGAAACATCTTTTCTAAAACTGATGCAGAAAAACTGGTCCATGCATTTGTCATGTCTAGACTAGACTATTGCAACGGTTTATTATCTGGGTGTCCAAATACTTCTTTAAAATGTCTTCGGTTGATCCAAAATGCTGCTGCCAGAGTCTTAACTGGAGTTAGTGGGAGAGATCATATTTCTCCAGTTTTAGCTTCTCTCCATTGGCTCCCTGACAAATCCAGAACTGAATTCAAAATCTTACTTCTAAACTACAAAGCTCTCAACAACCTAGCTCCATCTTATATTTGATATATTATTGTTCAATATTTTTCTAACAGAGCACTTCGCTCTCAGACGGCAAGTTTACTTGTTGTTCCTAGAGTTTCCAAAATCAGAATGGGAGGCAGATCTTTCAGTTATCAGGTTCCTCTCTTGTGGAACCAACTTCCAGTTTCTGTCCATGAGATTGACACATTGTCCAGTTTTAAGACCGGGCTTAAGACTTTCCTTTTGGATAAATCCTATAGTTAGAGTTGGGTTGGCTTTCCTGAGCTGTCCCTTAGTTATTCTGCTATAGGCTTAGCCTGCTGGAGGACAAAGTGACCACATTTCCTCACTCTGTCGCTGTTTTTACTTGCTCTACTTGTTTGTATTTGTAATTATTTCTGTCCTTAACATATGTTTTGTCTTTTGTCTTTCTTCCAATAGGGGGTACACCTGCACCTGTCATTCTGCGTTCGTTCATTTCTCCTTCCTGTCCTCTCAAACCCAGCCGGTTGAAGCAGATGGCCACTCATCCTGAGCCTGGTTCTGCTGGAGGTTTCTTCCTGTTAAAAGGAAGTTTTTCCTTTCCACTGTTGCCGTTGTGCTTGCTCATGATGGGAAACTGAATGAACTTTCAACACAATCTGCTGGCTTCCTTAGATAGACAACTTTTACTATTTATATGAATGTTTCTGTTCAGTGCCCTAAGATGACTTCTGTTGTGACTTGGTGCTATATAAATAAACTGAATTGATTTAACCTCCTAAGACCTGAACTCCTGCATATGTGGATACCAGGTCCTAGGAAGTTAAAGCCTGGTCCGGCCTAGACCAGCCCCAGTCTTCCCCAGCTCTGGATTTTTTTGTTTTCAGCAGAGTGACTCCTTGATCATCACAGCAGGACTGCTTGTATCAGTTCAGCAATAACGGCACCTCGTTGTTTGTCCAGGACACTGGTGCAATCGTTTACGCTGCCATGTTTTTTTTTTAAAGAGAGAATAGGAGGTCTCTCTATCACACAACCAGCCAGATGTAAGTAGCTGAGTAGCTGGCGGAAATGGCAGTAAGGAGCAGTCACTGGAAGTATGACTCATCTGTGACATGACTAAATTTTACATCCAGAGTTTCCCCTACCATTATACAAGCAGGGCGCTACACCCTGTCAACAAAACGGAGCGCCCTGCCTACTGAATTCTACCCCCCTCCATCATAGCGTGAAGATAGCGGTACGCAATATAGGCGTGCTAGCTAAAAGTTAGTGGCAGCGCTCATACTGCCTCATCCCTCACGCTGAACTGTGCGGTCCACCCTTCCCCCCCAAAAATTGTTGGTACAAACAGTGCACAGCTCAGACATGTCTCCGTGTCCACCCCCAGACAAAAATCACAGAAGAGATGAGCGCCCTGCCATGGCAAATAATCTAGGGGAAACACTGACATCATTTAAGGTCAATGTCAAGGTTTCTTTATGGTCATTTGTATCATATGTGGTACATGTGATGGAACAAAATTTTGTACACAGGGTCCCACTTAAAGATGTAGTTTGAAGCTAAATCAAGTTTAAGTCTAACACGCAGAATGCTTTATTACTGTTATATATAAATAGTCTGGAAACAAAGTTACTCTTGATGACAGCACCAAGCATTGCAGCTGTGTGAATGAGAAACTTTGTAAAAACAGCTGGTAAACTTGGTTAAATTTAAAAAAAAAGATGCCACAACAAAAGATTGTACACTTGAACAACAATATACATTTGATACAACTCGACAGTTAACAATTAGATTTGTCCTAAACCATTTTCAGTTTACCTTGAAGAGTAACAATTCAACTAAATAGGCTTCCTCTCACATTAAACTCCCATTCACACTACTCCGAATAATTTTAAAATAAAACCCAAAAACAAAGTGTTGGTGACATTTTTTAAAGGAGCCTGTTGCGATTTTAACCTCTTTTTGAGGGTGCTCAAGCACACCGAAATTTTAACTCAGCACCCCTGAAAAATAAACAAACCATCATTAGGATGTTAAAGGAAACAGTTCTCAAACCTTAGATTCACCAAAATACTGAATAAATTTGGAATAAAAATGGAATAAATGATGACACTCTTAAACGGGCCAGGAAAATCTAAGATTTTTTTTTTCCTTTGGCATGTGTCAGATCCTTGATGCCACCTGTCAATCAATCCAGCAGGCTTTTCAGCAACTGATCAATCAGCAATCTCAATTTGTCCCGAAATGACACACCCCTTACCTGCAGGAGCTCCACCCCCTTTTCATCTGACAGCATTGTCAGGGTTTTGCATTACAAACACTTTGCGGTCAGAGGAATTTTGTGAAAAATCATCAGAAAAACGTGGTTAAACGTTGTCAGTGGAGAACATGAAACTCAAACAGTGTTAAGCCCCCAGTATACTGCCGCGTCCGTCCATTCACGCGTACGTACACGTGTACTGTACGCAGAGGGTTCAGACTCCATCATACACCCTGAGCAGCTGCAGAGCAGCTTCACAGACAAGGGGCGTTTACCTTCGGGACAAATTGAGGTCGCCGATTGGTCATTTGCTGACACGCCTACTGGATTGATTGACAGGTCGGGGGAAAAAAAACTAGCGCTGGCAGCCTCAGCCACAGCAGTGTTCTGTGTTTATATGTTGCAGCCCACACATCAGACCAGCCCACCAGGAAATCTCCAGATCCTCTCGCAGCCACACTGGACCCGAGTTTAATTCACTCGTGACAAATTCCTTCATTTCTCACCATTTCAGTCATGGAGTCAACAGAGGAGGAGGAGATCACTGACTCTTGGCAAAAAAACAAAAGAAAAGGACAGATCAGGGATGAAGAAGGGGAATTTAATACAATGGTGTTGCATACAAAACAGTCCATCGCCGGGCGACACCGCGTACAAATTGATCTTTGCACGGACATGCCCTGGGGGGTACGCTTGTACCTCTGCGTATGGACGTATGAGGCAGTATACTGGAGGATTTACTCTGAGAGTCTAGAGGGTGGAATACAATTTACAGTAGTCCCTTGTTTATCGCGGGTGTTCCGTTCCCAGCCCCCTGCGATAAGTGAAAATCCATGAAGTAGGAATAGTGGTAGAAGTAGTAGTAGTAAGTAGTAGTTTATTTTAGTATATATATATGTATGCATGTTTGTATGTATAAAGGCATTTTAAACCCTCCCCTCACTCTTGCAAATTCTAAACAATGTTTCTAAACTCTAAACGCTCTAAAAGAGCACAGCATGTCATGATTTTAGCTCTCTGCCACACCCACTTCTCAGATGCAATCGCTGGCAGAGAGCTGAGATCACGACATGCTGCAGAAGGGAGCTTCTCCCAGTGCTAAATCATTTAAAATAATTTAGTTTAAATAAACAATCCATGCCGCTTGCGTGGCTTAGCCATCAATCAGTCAAATGTGTGTCATGTCCAATCTTGCTTTGAAAAACTGCGAAAGTGTGAGTCTGCGAAAGTCAAACCACGAAGTAGCAAGGGACTGCTGTATAGCTATGTTGCAACTTCTGGCTGCATAAGTTTAATCTTTGTTATGATCAGTTAACACTAAACAGATTTTGTACAAAGCGTTTATAAGGTTGTGTAATGTAAAGCGGAGCGCTACATCTATAGCATCTTAGCTAGCGCATCTGTATTACGCGCCGCTAGCTTACTCTACGTCTTGTGCCATGCTCTTTATAATAGTTACTGAATCAAGTTTTTATTCATGTTGGTAAAAGTAGACGTTTAAAACTCCATTAAAATACATCAGAAAGCAGGAAATGGCATCTACTTTATTCAAACTGTTCTGGTGGAAGACCCCCCCAGACCCCCCCCCCCCCCCCCCCCCACCACCAGTGTGTTCCCCCCCCCCCCCACTTTACAAATGCTTCTGATGCCAATGGCTACTTCGTTGTTCAAGCCAAAAGCTATTGTCAACACTGGGGGCTGAGCACCCCTGATGGGAATATACTAGAATCGCACCTGGTAGGAACCCCTTTCATGCATGTCTACCATCTCTTGCTCTAACAAAACATATTTGAAACCATTTTTACATTTAATGCACTTCTCACTTCATCTTGTTCCTGCTGCAATCATATTTTAAATGTGCTGAAATTATTAAAAATTGTGGGAAAAAAATATTGCAAAAGTCATTAAAAATATCTTTGGGAGAATCTTGAGGCGAACTTCAGTTTTTGAATTTTATGTTATGCTTTATGAACATTATCACTACCTACTGGTAAAGTCAGCAAATTAGTTAAAATCTTGCACATATAATCAGTTTTTTCCAGAGAAAATGGCATGTTTAATAAAATTATCTGGAGTAGTGAAGATGGAGCTTAAAACTATAAATGTGTTGTAAATTTATAGAATTTATTTTTTTTT